TGGAAGACTAAGCGAGATTTAAATGGAAAACTCAGAATGGATGAATACACTTTCCCCAACCGTTTAGAATGCAGGACATAGCAACGTCGGCGACATCTACCTTGATTAGTTATTAGCAGTTACAACATCCGCAGATGCGTCATAGAAAAGCATGGCGAGTCATAGGAGCCCTTAGTAAGAGGGGGGTGAATTCATTCGATAAGCACTGTACAGCTTCTGATGATGCATGAGACTTTCTTTTCCATTAACCTCATCAAATGCTCTCATGATGCATTTGAATAGTACCATTAAACTGGCAGCTTCCATGCTGTCACATTTGCCTTTCCTCCTAATGCATTTTGATTTTCTCTAGTTGCCAGCAAGCATTAAGCTTGCTGGCAACTAAAATAAAATATCATATTACTTGAATTTCCATGCTGCATTTGATTAACATAGATTACACTTGAAAGACATTCATTACTTGGAATTCTGCATCCCTAATTAGGGACTTGATAGAAATCTCAAGACATTTCTAAAGGTCTCAGAGAGGAAAAAAAGATGTTACTCTTAATCTTCACCTGGGTGTGGCAGCTGTTGCTGAACTTGTATTAATTGATAGTTGAGCAAAGTCTCGTTTCAAATGAAGCGATGCTAGATTGATTTTCTGGATCTTGGCAGAGCCAGAGTACAAGGACAAGTTTCTTCCAGGCTCAAGTACCAAGAGAAGCTTCATTGTCTGCAAAATGAACCAAAGGACAATAATGAATCAGTTAGATAGAGACACCTAATTAAGGATTGCTACAGAAACCTCACTTGAATAGGAATGGCATCCAAAGCAGGAATGGAAGTGGCAGAACCAAAAATGAGCTGGGAATGACTCTGTCCTTGGGCTGGACCAAATCTAATGCTCTTGAGGAAGGAAGATGTTTCTTGCTTTGGTGACAGGAGGAGAAGGCTCAAATACTGCTGGCCCAACAGATCCTCATAGATGAAAGCTTTCACTGCCTTCCGAGGTAGGTTGGTTTCACTTGAAAGCAACAACCAATATTTACATATTAAGCAAAAAACAAAAGGTCATTTTGTTGCTGGCCACCATAAGTTTCATAACTGAAGATATCAAAGGGGACACACCATACAAGTTAGTCCATACTGCTCATGATGACTTTTTGAATACTTACTGAGACCATACTCTTGCTGCAAATTTATGGAAACACCTATGGTTGATCCATGCTGTCAGAATTAGCCTACAGTTCCTTCGTGTTCCTCCAATAAAATTGATGCGACTCAGCTCCAGTTTTTGCTGAGCAGTTTGTTGTTCATCCCTTTCACCTGTTCATAGCTTTGGCCGGGCAAGGAAAACACTTGCAAACCTGCAAACGAAGTTTGCGGGAACAGAGACGCATGGGTGGGCAGCCTGCTTAGTCCACTTACATATCCTACCCAGGAAATTCCAATTTGTCACCTGAGGTTTGTACGTGAAAAAAAAATATTTTTCCTACGCTGGCTTTGACAGTACATGTGTCACATCATAACATCACTTTTTCTAGTAATATTGTCTTGGAGAGAAAACAAGAATACATCAAAGGCTCAAAGAAACTGAACCTTGGGATACATGACTTGGATCTTTAGGACCCATACCAGTGAACAAAAATTGTGTTTAGTATATACATTTCCATCATATATATATATATATCCTTTAACCCCTTGATGAGTATGCCCGTATACAGGCTGACATCCTCCTGCCCTCCGTTTATTCACTATGGGTGATCTAGGTGTTAAAAAACCCACTCCTCGAAGGGTTAATAAACTGAATGTTCTCTTTAAAAGTCCAAACAATGTGTTGTTTTGGTGGGGGGTCCCATAGACTTGACCTATAGATATATGTATAAATTTGGTCATTTATCCAAGGGTTAAGCAGAAACTATACATTGCAGAACCATTGGGTGGGGAGAAATAATTCTGGTAGCATGAATCAACATTGGTAAACAGCACTTCCATGAATTTACACCAAGTTTATATTCGTGAAAAGTCTGACTGGTTGTGGAACAACTTGGGCTGAGACAAGCATTCCCTCACAGAGCTCTACAGCTTTCAGAGGCAAAATGGTCCCATGTTGTGAGCCCACACAGAGCATATAGTTCAAGTAGGCTATAGATATCATCAAAGTCATCACATAAAGGAAGTTTACTAACAAATCCAGTTGAAGGAGACAAAGTCTTACTTGACATTGAGGGACTCTAGCCAAACAAAATCCAGGCACAGCTCAGGATACACTGGTTCTGGTTCAACAAATGATGATTCTGTTTGGAAGGAAATGCAGGATGTAGTTGACCCAGGTGTTCCAATAATGGCTGGATTCACCATCGGTGACCTTGACAGGTCTGATGATGGACTTGTCATATGATGAGACTGATGCATATGGGAATGGCTGCAGAAGGAAAGGAGAGAATAGGCACAGTGAGTTTCTGATTATCATTGACAAAACCATCAGTTCACAAAAACCAAACTATACAAACAGTTACATATTGAACTGTACTCTCATTTGCCTAATCTAGAATTCTTACTGATCTAGTAATATCTGAGAAGGTGCTTGAGAAAAACTCCATATTTTCAACATTTTGGCAAATGAGTGAATACGTAAGTTTGAAAAATTTTTAGCCAGGCAAGAATTTGGCTTTTTTTTTAATGTAAAATAAGAATAGATAATTTATTGACTTTGCACCAGGAAGCTGTGAACAGAGAGCACCAGTGGAATTGCAAATACACTTGAATTATCTATGTTCAGCCAGTTCTTGCTATTCAAACATTTTTTTTAATTGCATATTCATCCTTCTTTCAGTTGACAATGTCATCAATCATAGTTTCTGAGAATACAATTTTTAGTGACTTCAATTTCCATTTGTCAAGATGTTTTAAATTATAGTTCTGCTGTGACTATGCATCTGGTTTTCAGAGATCACAGTCTTAACTCCTAGAAACATTTCATTTTGGCAGACAGAACCATAATAGCATAACATACTTTTCTTTATGGAACACACCTAGAAACTACAGAGAATTTTTCTTAGAAAAACCTAGTACTGAGTACAAAACTGGTAAAAACTAAATACCAACCACATGATCTCATGCACTTCCCATTTGATTGCCTAAGCCCTAATTGCAGTCACCATATCACTATTGCTAATATATTAATACCTATCAAATAAAGAAATACCATGCTCTGGAACTTTTTGAGATGGAAATTTCCTTATATTCCCTTGATTGCTCATCATGCCATATTGCATTGATGGCAAAATTTGTGAGACTAGGAAGTCAGATACAGATGGCAGTTACTGAAAAGCAATTAGTCATAATTTAGGCATAGTATAGCTAGTAATCAAGAAGAATGATGAGAATAAATTGGAAAAGTGTAATAAGGCCTTCTCCTTCAGAGAAGTAAAGATAAAATTTTTTTAAACCCTGCACTGAATGGTGTCCCAGGTATGGCATGCTCTGCTTTACATTGAAACGCATTGCAATACAATGGAAAAACCAAAATGAAAGGATAATTTTTAAATTATTTTTCTCATCAACCACTTGAAAAAAATATGATTGTCAAAGATGTTTTCAGTACAGTTAGAAAAATCATCCATTATAGGGTTAAAGGATAATAGCAAGTACAAGCAACTGAAAAATAAGGTCTAACTCTCACCATTCAACTTAGCCATCATTGAAGTTATCTCTTACTTGACTGGGCCAATAGTCTACAATTTCCAGATCTGAGCTTTGGACAGTTGACATCCCAGAAATCACAATGAGACTCATATGAGGAGCAATACACATAAGTATGGTTGTAAGTAAATGTGTTTATATTTACATTTTTAAGATTTGAAAGATAGAGAAAAAATTTGAGGGTAGCTCAAGTGAACCCTTGACATTCTGTCCCACATATGGTAGTAATGCATGTAAATCCACCAAAATGTCAACACTATCTGTGTTGACTGTAAATCAAAATTTATTTGTGGCAGCCTCATTCCAGACCCAAACCAAGTGTTGAATCCAAAATGACACCCACCTGAATTGGCATGACAATAGACACCGTACTGTTGCGGTATTTATAGAAAAGCAAGTGGTGAAATCTGCTGGAATTCATGATATGCTTGTAGGTAAGTATGGTGACATTACTCTATCACAATTGAGTGGAAATACATAGTGCTCACAATTTCATGAGGAGACAGGATGATGGCAGTGCTGAATATTCTGGCAAGCTACCTTCCATAACATGACTGAGCATTACAAATTTGAACAAGTATGCTGTGGAATGGCAAATCAGTCTATTGATAAACATAAGAGTGTGAAATACCTTATGTTTATCAAAACAAAAGTACTCCTTGAGTATTTTAAATTTCAGAAAGTGTCATTCTGGTGGGTGCCCAAGAACCTGATCATGTATCAAGCAAGGGAATTCAAAACTTTTGCATGAAGTTGAATAACTGGTTTGAAAGTGAGGATAACTTCTTTAACCCTCTCCTGGCAAAAGCACTCGAAAGCACTCTTGGCAAAATTGTCGCTTCCAGTCAAAGTGCTTGTAAGCGCTCATTTTGTTTATGGACTCCTAGTGCCACCTATTGGACAATTGACTCACTATTAGGTGATTCAACAGCTTATACAAAACATGTTTTGTAAAATTAAATGGGGTAGTATCTGGGGAACCAAGGCTTTGGAATAGGGCTGGGAGAAGGTTAACTTGTTGAATTGGGTCCAAGGACTTCATAGAGAGATCATATCCTTTAAGAAGCATATCAGTGGACTGCACTTCAGCAGGAATTACCAAGTGCCAGTTGTGTCCTTCAGAGACTTCAAGGTCAGCCCAAAATTGTCTATGCTACAGTTATCTGAGCACTCAAAGTAATGAGGCAAGTGCACAGGCACAGTAGGCAGTTACTCCCAAGAAAAGGGTGAAATTTTTTGCAGTAATCTTACCCTGTTGAATCACAGCACATGAAAGTCCAAGTTTTACTTGAACCACTATTGTAATTAAGTGCCTGCTGATAATCTGAGTATGGTCCAAGTCCATCTGAAAGATTCAGGCAGGTAGGAAAAATGGAGACAATGAAGTCAAAGAGGAAGGGAAAGCACAATAATTCCTAGCATTGACAGACCTTAACTTATCAATACCATACATTTATAAGATTCTGGTATGATGCATGACACATCCTAATGAATAAGTCTGCTGTCCAATTATATAGAAGATCTTTCATCTTTAGAGAGGCTATGCTATCAAGACAAACTCAGATTACAATGGTCTCCTGTACCAGCACCATCTTTACCACTGGCAATATAGGGAGTCTAAAAATGCTATTGATATTTAAGCTTACACCTCTTTTAGGGAAGGAGATCTTACATATGGGGTGAAGAGTGAAATTTGGGAGGAGGACACAGATTCAAAAGGGGAGATTCCTGAATCTTAGGGGTGAAGCTGCGGTGGTTGTGGGGAGAGAAAACAGGATTCCCGCTTGTAGTAGGGGTGCTGCGTGGTGGAGGCATGTGGCCCATCCATGTCCCAGTGTGGTTTTTTGAAACAGGTGTCCCCAATGGAAAAATACTACTTGTGCTCTGGTTCAGCCTTGTGCTTCCCCCATCTTCTCCAAAGTCTCCAATAAAGAATTTTGACTCCTGCATGGCAAGTGCAATGTGCGACAATTGGCAAAGTAAAGTCTTAATGTAGAACTAATCACTCACTGCTTCATTGAGCCTCCTAAGCTTCCACACACAGTGATGTCCTGAGCCAACATCATAGGTAACACACAGAGAGGATGATGAATGAGTGAAGACAATCTGTAGAGTTTCATCACACTGAACTGAGAAACGAGATGTAGCATCCAAGATTGAAGAACGCGAGTACATCAAAGGTGGGTTCTTCCTCATGGCAACAGGGGAAATCTCTCCCGTTGAGTGGGTGAGAGAGAAGAAGACTGGGTAGAGTGTTGAGCTGGTTCCAGGAATGCCTTCCTTTTCTAGGGAGGATTGGCTCCTTTCAAATATCAGACCTTTTTCACTCAACCACATGTGTTTTACCTGGAACAAAGACCACAATTTCAGAGAAATTATGAAAATAGATACTGTCTCTTCTGGGAGTTGATTTTACATTTATGAGTGGTTAATGTTTACATTCTGGCAACAATTCTTTGTGAGCATTTACCAGGTGGTGGGAAAAAAACATATTGCTTGATTTTTCATGAAATCATCTATAGAAATGGGAGGCTGGTCATTTTTTTAAACAGGGGAAAAACACTAAAATTTGTTTCATGAAAGTTTCATTAGTCTGTCAGTTCAATAAAAAGCAACAGCCATTCATACCACAGTAAGAAAATTCCATTTTATCACATATCACACCTATGCATGTGTTATGTGTAACCTCTCTTGTATGGATTTAAATCTCCTGCATAAGTGCTGGCAGTCTGATTTTTTCTCTGAAGCTCCTAAAAATTCGCTAGTTGAGTGGTGCAACTGTCCTAAAAATACACAGTTGATAGTGAAGTCTTTATTGACAGAGTTTCAGAACATTTTCCCAAAAAGTTACATTATAGCATTTGTACCATGGTCATGGAAAAAGGCATTCTGTGGCACTAAAGTGGCCTTTAGGCCAATAAAAGTTAAAGGTTAGGTATAATAACCCTAGAATTGAAAAAAATCTGAAAAAATATCAATTTTCAGTTTTTGGAATTTTTTGATTGTTTATATATAAAATAAGCATTAGGTACATATCAATTATAACTTTGAACAGTAAAAGTGGTTTTTATTTGATTTTCAGAATCTTCATTGTGTTTGTTTTGTTTGTTAAATATATGATAAACAATGCTTCCACCACAGGAATGATAATCATGAGACTTGCCCAGATTGGTGTCCTGCCATGAAGGGGGACATTGATAAAATAAATAAGAATGTGCTTTTGCTCTTTATTTTGGATAAAATAAAACAGGTGTTTGAAGAACTGGCATCAGAAGACCTGCTAGTGAGATATAAGCATGGTGGGGTGCAGAATGTAAGTGAAGTCTTCCACTCATCTGGCAACAACACCCAAAACTGTTTTTGGGGGCAGGAAGCAACTAGAAATTGTAGTAGCTGATGCTACTTGTGTCTACAATGATGGGGAAAATTTCAGAGCACAAATATTTGGCATTCCTGGACTGTGTCCTGGAAGTTTCACTGAGTCTGGACTGTACTGCTGGACAGACGTCAGATACTAGGATCATTACAAGCAAATGCTGAACATATCTGGAACTCCAGGAAAGAAAAAATAATCCAGCAGGACAAGACAGTAGATTGTCTTGACAAAGAATACATCCCTGGTGGTTTTTGAGCAGTTTGTAACAGTATTTGTGCTCTCTTACATGGTGATTCACTTTGAAAGGACAATGAACTTTTCAATGCAATTTTCTCATATTTGTCATTTTGGGTTTCTACCAGAACTAAAATCCATCTAGCTCAGTAACCAGCGAGGATATCACTTCGAAAATTTCACAGAATGTATAGAACATTTGGTGCCGGTATAGTGTGCACTCTACCTTCCCTATAGGAAAAAATATCGTTCCTTTAAGGTTTAGCTCATATAATACTACTCTGAAGTTCGGTTTGGCACTTATGATTGATCTCCATCTATTCTTCTCAACAATTTCCTCAATTTTCTTTTAAAATACTTTAATTGACTCATGACCCGCCTAAAAGACCATCACAACCAAAGAGCGTATATAGACTGGAGGGGCGCATCCTGTACAGCGAGGCAAGGACGGACAATCCTCGCGGCTGCTATCTTAGGATTGGAGAAATACTCTCTCATGTGATTCTATTGCGGAATCCTATTCAATAAAGCTGGCATCATACTCTAAATGATATCACATGTGATACAGCTTACCACAGGTGGTCATTTTCTATCTTATTCTACAGACTTTGAATCTGAGCTGGTTTGAGATGGCTTCTCAAGCGTAAAATTTCAGGACTGCAAAACTGCTTAGCATGTGAAGACCTAGGTCTCAGCCTGTACGGGTCTTATGATTAAATTATAACTAGGTCTTTCTAAGGATACCGAGCTCATAGGGTCCTAACTTCTTGCCAAGTTACGCTTATACTGGCAAAAATATGGGTTTGGCCTTGCTAAAGTCGTAAAAAAATTAGAACACACACAGTCGCTTCAAGACTCCCTCCATTCTATCCCATCCTAAGATAGCAGACGGATTGGACAGTCCGCACGTGCTTTATGCCCACTCCAGGTATATATGGTCTATGCTCGAGACCCACCTGTGGAGAACTGCTGCTCTAAAGGAGAAGCTGTCTTTATAGTGTGTTCTCTACCTTTCCTGTTGGAAATATCAGTCTCTAGAGGGGAAGCAGTCTTTATTAGAAGAAGGAAATATATATTCAACAGATCTAATGTCGCTGAGAAACTGTAGGAATAAGTCATTAGCTTCCTTTCGCATGATATGGTAGCAAAACTCGTCCAAGTGGGACTGCATCATATTAGGCACAACTCCTCTCATCTTCTTCAGGATTTTGGTCTTGCAATCCAGCCAACTTCTTTCAATTGCCTGAGTATTAGCTCCACTCTCCAGATTGACGTAGTTATCTTGGTGGTTCACCGTCTCATGATGGAAGCCAAGAGCACTCAGGCAGCTGTATGTAGGCCACTCATCTGAATGTATGTGTGATCCAGGAGTAACTTCACGCTGTATTATGGGGATGAGAGTCCCAGCATTTCGTCTCTCCACTACAAAGAACCTTACATCCAATCCTTTTTTCAAACTGAACACCCAGGGACCATCAACCCTCCGACTGTGGTTGCATTTATTGATGATATTGACCTTGTCATCCTCCTCTTCCGGCAGTTCGTCTCCATCCAACAAGCGCCTACAATTATATTTCCTTCTCCTGGCGAACCTCGCCTCATCTATTTGAATGGGAGCCTCCGCGGTGCCCACCATCTGCCCTTTCGACTGCACTACGACAACAGCAGAGCACACTTCACGACAGAAGTTCATCTAGTCCATAACAGTATTCTTTTACTTGCCTGTGGTGTTAGCAATCATGGACGCAGGCATCTCAATCACCCAATGAAATACGATCTCCAAAATCTCACACAGCATGAGATTACACCACATCCTGTTGTTTAAGTCTGTGAACGTGAAGAAATTATTACTCATCCGGATGCTTCTCATTGTCTGGCATCTTTTCCTTGAACATTGCAAAATGGGGTAAGGCTGACCCCTTCAATCCTTTCTTGTCTTTTGCTGCATTTCACCACCACATTTGTGACACATCTGTGGATCGCTTCGAACGACACTCAACAAACTATGGCTCTGAAGGAATACCACACAGGTTTCCTCGGAAGAAACTACACAATTGTAAAACTCACGGAGAAGCATGATGCAGTGAGACTGATGTTTCTAACACAGCTGCTTGCCCTTCAGCTCCTTAGCTTTTCTTGCCCTTATCTTTCCCCTAGGAGGGTTTTGTGATCTACCTCCCGGGCAAGCGAGGTTTTGCTTGCTTGCCCAGGAGGTAGATCACACCTTTCGGTAGAGCGCACGCTATACCAGCACCAAACATTCTATACTTGGTTTTGAGTCAAAGAAATCTAACTTAACATGGATACAAGTATATATATCAGTTGAATAAATAATTTTTGTCTTTCTGATGAATGAAACTTATTTGTAATCTTCATTGAATCTTTCATTTTTCATCCAATAAAAAAATCGCTGGGTCAAAACATTGCTTTATAGTATAGAAATGCCCCCCTCCTAAATTTGGTGTGGACATGTATAATAGTTTTTAGAAATTTGGAATCTACATCATAGGTGTCATTTGTGTGTTGGCCATCTTGGACCATGTCACCTAATAATGGTGACAAAATTGGATCATTCCAATAAAGTATTTTCTTCAAGTCAATTATGGTCTTACATGCAAAATTTAAAGCCCTCGAGGGTATAGTTTGATTTTTTTCATCTAAGGTTATACCTAACCTTAAGCACCTCTCCTAACCTCACCTTACTGCAAGAAACAATACATCTCAGTAGAGCACTGCTGAATCTACTGCAACCTAATACATAGAAAAGCAAAATTTTCTTAGTAAATTTTGAATTTGTATGACTTACTTTCATCCAAACAACCTTGGAATGTTAAACTTTGAGGAAGCATATTTTCATTGCCTGTTTTCTTTGCGATATATAAAGCAGTTCAAAAACCTTCCATTTCAAGTCAATTTTACAGTGTTAAAACAAATGGTTTTTTACCGCCTGGTATATGCTAAAATTACCTTTTGCATGGTGTCTATGACGACAGCTCACCTTGAATGGCATCGAGTGGATGAAATCTTCTCCACTCAATGCAAATATATGAAGGGTACTTCTATACAAAATACATATTGATGGCAACCTCGACATCTGGTCATCCTTAAGACCTGTGAAAAACCAAATTGGAATAAGCAGCACTCAAATTACACTAGATGCACTTTTCTGTCATCCTGAAGCAAGTTAAATGATCAGGATTCATTTCTTCATTAATGCATGATAGCTCAATGCTATTCCCAGACAAAAAGTGATTCTTAAACTCCTATACTGCTTCTTACATAAACTATATGGGACACACTAGGTCCAAAATAGCACGCACAAAGAACATCTGATCTTCAAGCAGGTTACCATTACGTTACTTACCATTACCATAAGGTGATGGAGGAGGGAAGGTGAACCATTGGGCATCACATACTTCTTCTTCACCTGAAAAACTTTTCAATAGTTTCCTCCCAGCATCACCCATGCCTCTACTCCAGATGACAATCTGTCCTGATGAATAAAGCTCCTCAACACTCCCCTTTGAACCTCCCCGAAGAGTCCATTTCTCTGTTGAGGCTAGAATACCCTATAAAAGAAATGCACATGTCTAGGCTGGACCTGCAGAGAACTGCTAATGGAGTATTTGCTTATCTTACAGCAGCATAAAAATACCCACGCCCTCATTTATGCCCCCCTTCTTTTTTTGACTTGACTAGGCCTAAATACAAGTCTAGGCAGGCCACCAGGTGTAACCATTCAACAAATGCCATAAATGTACTATTAACTCACAGGAAAAATGGTTGCTGTTCCACCTCCATGCATCAAAGCTTCTTTGTCATCACTCGCATCTGGATGACGCTTGCTAACCGCTCTACCGAATGGAATATATTCCTAGAAGGGAAAAAATCACAGACGACGAGGCCTGGGTCAATCACACGCCAAAGTCCAGCTTAGGCTAAAAAGTTTCCAGATATCATGAGACGTTTCATTCGTCTAATATAGTACCGAAGAAAATCAGTGATAAGCTGACCTGGAGTTCTTCAACGGAGATCATGTTTTCGACTAAATCGCGTTATTAGGCAACCAAATGAGAACGGATGCGAGCGCTGTCCGCGCCCTCCTCATCCCTACCATCGACCACGTTGTCCATGGAGGCCGGCATTTTCCTCATACAGGATTGGTCCAAGATGGTTGAAATTTCGCACACGATTGGTCGAGGATGGGAGGGCATCCCGCACAAGATTGGTTGATTGTGTATGTCACAGCAGCCAAATTGGGCGGGAAGCATTGGGCCCAATAACGAAAAAAAGATTTTAGGATTTCGAGAAATTATATCAACGCCAGAAATCCTTCCTGCGTTGAAACTTAAAATTGACTGCAAGAATGGCATTTATTTAGATGAAACTGCACTCATGATTGCCCTCAGCAGCAGAAATTCTCTCAAATGAAAGTTCAAGAGGCGTATAGCAGATTTACAGAAGTTTTCTGGTTTAGACAACCTGCTGTAATACCCATGAAATCAATGGGATTTACCCTAACAGCGGGTAGCGACAAACTATCATTTTTGTGAGTTCATCAATCACTTTCTTATTTTCGCTTTAAGTGCTGCCAACAATAGCAGATCACTCTGTCTCTCGTCTCCTTAGCGAGTCCGTAGGTAATTTTTTACTCTCTTCTAATTGTCTCTCGGCTTGAGCAGTTGTCAGAGGCAGAGTTAAAACGAGGCCAATTATCTTCAAGATCTCAGCATACGCACCTGCAACTCTCAAGAGCGCATATCTGAGTTTCATGATTTAACAACAGCAAAAAATTCAGGCCATGCCGCAAGAGAGTTTAAAGGCGCCCAGCAAACATAGTGGCGTTGTGGGAAAGTTTCCCTTGAGCAGGGGTGAGCAAAATACGGCCCGTGGGCCGAATCCGGCCAGCCACCCAGTCTAACAAAAGGAAAAAATTATAGTTCGTTCAATCATAGAAAGGACCAATTTTAATCAATGAAGGAGCTGAGCTTGCTCATTTCGTTTGTCATAACTGTCCCTCTTCCCCTCCTTTCCTCTCCTCAATAGCCACGTTTCGACTAGTCTTTTTTAGAATAGCCCTTTCTTGGGATTCAAGTTATTAATTATCAAGATGTCATGCATCCTAGGATAGCCGGGACCAACTGTCAAACCTGTTAACTCTGGGATTTGTGACTATCTGAGATTGGGAATCTAGCAGTTCTGACTGGGTGAGATATTCTAGGATTCGAACTATTTGGATGCATTTTGTCACAGACAGTCCTATAGGCCACAGTGCAATTTAACATAATTGAAGATGAATGACATGAAATGTTTTTGAGAGCGATATACTTGGCAGTCTACATTGTGAGAAACTGGATGGTCGAAAAACGTGATGTGGTAGAAGAAGCTGTTTTTCAGTTTTTATTGCAAAGGAGGGAGTAGGACCGACAAGCAATGATTGTGCTATTTAGGTATTCTCCCAGATACTGGAGTGCGGCCCTTGAAGCTCACCTAAACTCGTGAAGTGGTCCTCCAGCCAAAATAATTGCCCACCCCTACCCTAGAGACAATGTCATCGACGTTGAAGGTCAAAGTCCAACGTTGCGTGAATATTGTAGCAGTGTTATGGCATTATGATACCTTCTTAAATCGCATTTTTAAATAATATTTATGGTAGTATCATGGAACATGCATCGCCAAATTGGGGGGGGGGGGACATTTTTTTTTTCCAAGATACAACCTAGAACCTATCCAGTGTTACCACCTCAGTAACACCAGATATTGGCTCAATGCCGGACCAACATTGGGTACGTTGTCTACAAGGTGTTAAAAAAAAAGGTGCCAAATCATTTTCGTTATTAACCCCTTAACTGGGAACTTTTGAAGGCATATGTGCGGTGATTCCATTGAGAGATGGCAGGTGCCAGACCGCACATATGCGGGCGAGTCCATTTAAGGGGTTAATGACAGTAAATTTTATCAGATCAACTTAATTTTGTAAACACTGCATGCAGATAGAGGACAGAAAGCTTTTGCAAATTTTGAATGATTTTGACCGAATTTATCATGTGATATACCGTTTAAAACTTAAAGGCTGAGAAAATGCACCGGACATACCCGCTGATGCGTTCGTCTCAGCTGTGCAGCAAGTGAGTATCTGCATGCCATCCAGAACGGCAAAGGAGGTTCGCTTCTCTGGCTTAGACGAACGCATCAGCTGGTATGTCCGTTGGATTTTCTTAGCCTTCAAGTTTTAAACGGTGTATCACGTGATACGTTCAGTCAGTATCGTTCAACATTGATAGAAACTTTACATCGTCTTTCACTTTTGAGGGCTTGGAATGCTGCTGAGTCAATTCTACGAATGTTATTGCAACATTTGCTATCACGATTGAGAGAATGTTGACACTATTGACAGTGACAACGTAGCGAAAACATCCCGATACAGTATGAACTTAGAAGTTTTAATAAATAGTTAAGTTTTCCTCCAAGCCCCTAGATGGAGGCATAGATCTAGCTTTTCGAACGGTACACAAAAGTGTCCTCCCTTTCCCTGGAATCGTCCCTCACGGAAGTGTTTAGTACCTTGCCATATGTCTCGCCTAGTCTCATTATACGTTGTTAAAGTTCTGGGAATTTGCGAGATAATTTTTTATTAGGCTAATTTTCTACGATATTACAGTGCAATTTTTCAACATAATCACCATTTAGCTGTATACATTTGTGCCAGCGAGAAACTAAGTTTTTTAGTCCATCTTCAAAGAACTTTTGTGGAGTACGTTCTATCCACTCATTTATCGCTGCTTTAACTTCAGATAGAGACTCAAAATGGATTCCTCGGAGAGGTTTCTTCGTTTCCCCAAACAGATGATAGTCGCTGGGAGCCAGGTCTGGAGAATAGGGTGTGTGTGGCAGGAATTCCCAGCGCAGACCTGACAAAACGGCCTTCGTAAGACGAGCAGTGTGCGGCCTCGCATCGTCTTGCTGCAGTAACGGTCGGGAATGGAGCTTTTCTGGCCGTTTTTTCTCGAGTACCTCACGCAGTGGTCCCTTCAGCAAATCAGAGTAATGTTGTGCATTTATTGTGGAACCTTTTTGTCGATAATCGATCATGATTATTCCCAGGCAATCCCAAAACACCGTTATCATAACCTTACCAACTAATGGCATAGTCCTTGCTCTAAGCGGAGGACCATCAAAAGGTCGCCGTCATTCCATGGACTCAATTTTTGTTTGTGGATTAAAGTAAGATATCCAGGTCTCCTCTGTCGTGATGATTCGTTGCCAGAAACTATCCCCATACTGTTCCTATAGAGCCAACAACTCGGAACAAACCACACGATTGAGTTTCTGTTTTGGCCCCAACAGCCACGGTACCCATCGTGCAGAAACCCTGCTCACTCCAAGACGATCGCGTAAAATTTCATGAACTTTTTTGGAACTGATGCATACGCTTGTTGCAATCTCGCGAATGGTGATTCGTCTGTCTTCCATGAAAATTTTCTCCACAGCGACATTTTCTTCGTTAACGGCAGTGTTTGATCGACCACTGTGGGGATCATCTTCACGACTCGTTCTTCCATTCTTAAAGCAATCGATCCAGCAATGGACGGTATTTTTAGATTCAGAAGATTCACCAAAAACAGCTTTCAAATGTTGAATAATTTCAGACGTCTTAACACCTTCCTTCCATAAAAATAAATTGATAGCTCTTTGAGAATTTACCGCGTCTTCCATGACTGACAAAGTGTACCCTACGCGAACACTGACAACTTCTTACTGACGCATGCCCAATGAATAATAATTTGAAGCCGTGTTTATGACAAGCCTAAGCATGTGTGACCAACTGTGCGGTAGGCTTTGATCAGTCGTTGCAATGATAGAACAAAATTCCCAGAACTTTGTAAACACCCTTCGTATATTGGTGATCATAATAGACCAGGAAAGTATTCCCACCACAAATGTGAAAATTTTTGCTTTGGGGGGAAAAACTGGAATTTCTCAAAATAAAGGCCTCCACAAGTGGGAAAAGAAAATCTATTGAATGCTGTCATTTACACATTTACACACAGGAAAATTTGCTGAATCTTATGACGCATTAGGGTCGCATCATGGATTATTTCAAGAAGTTGTGCCTTGAGTTTCGATGAAATGGTGATTGATTCTAGGCTCTGTTCTGGTGCATTAAGTGAGCGATCACCTGACTCAGTGATTTCAACTTGACGAAATCCTTATCACTTGCAATTTTTTTTCCTCTACAAGAGAGCTGTCAGATTGAGTCATAAGATTTCCGGAAAGCATCTTAATGAGTCCAACTTTGAGAAGTAGACTGTGGTCAGGAATCCGACTATTTTCACACACAGTACTACAGGGGCTCAGACATAGTACCAGATTCCCCTGGCGAACTTCCCTGACTGAGTCAATGGGTACTTTCACGCGTACAAAAGGTTGGAGTAAGGTACAGAGATTTCGCGATGAGTTCATACCCCTAAAAGGCCGCTGGCGCTGTATGCCTATCGACTCCTAGGGCAGATACTGAATACCAGTTAGCGGTATACGTGAGACAGGAGAGGATGTTAGTTCCGATGAGCCATAGAAAATAATTACTTGTATTAAACATTACATTACATTAGTACACATTGGTGACGGGCCCCGAGGCCGGTCACCAACCGCTCAACCGGTGGACCGCGCCCCCCCCCCCCCCCCCCCCCCCCCCCCCCCCCCCCACCACCCCCCCCCCCCCCCCGGGGGCCCCCCCCCCCCCCCCCCCCCCCGTCTCCCCTGAATGACCAGGTTTACAATTAAATTTTAAAACGTAAAAA